GGGAGCCAGCACACCAGCCCCACCTTCACTTTTATACACAAGACTGTACTAAGCCTGCATTGCAATATTTGGGCAGCACACGACCTCACTATCTGCTGCTCTCCTCCAAACATTGAGGCATATATATTATTTGAACTAAAATAAATAAAGCAATTACCAGCCCATTCTTCTCATATCCCCACCCCACCCCCACCTCCCCCATCCTTATCAGCTGGTTTATTGTAACTTGCTTGGGACTAGGTGACAGAGTAGGAGGAAGTGAAACAAGGGATGAGATCCCGTGACTCTGGAACACTGTCTCTACACTGAGCCTGGTGACATGTAGAAGAAAAACCAGCATATTTGGCAGCAGATTTGCTTTGCCTTGTTTTCACAGAAGCACATCCTTTACTATGAGTAACTTGTTATGATGAGACCAGTCTTCTGGGCAATAGAGGGAATACTGCCCTCCCCATACACTGTTGAGAAGACAACAGAAGAGTACCTTGTTTACTGCCTGCTGGAGTGCCATGTTCTTTTGCTGTCCTCTCCAGTATCTGTGGTACTTTTCTGAGAAAATTGGCTCGAGACAATCTATTTAAAGTGTTGAATAGGAAGGGTTAAAGAAAAAACAAAAAGTGCCTTTTCAGAGCTTCACAAGAAAATTCACTAGAGTGGAATTCAGCTTTTTAAAAGGCCTCTGATTTACATTTCCTTCAAAGTCGTCTAGTTTCCAAAATAACAAAAGAACCATGTTGTCATATGAGATTAAAACCATAAAACTTAGGCTGGAGCTCCTGCATATTGAGTAAGTCCTGGGGTGCTATTTGTTTTAAAACATTACATAAGATTTGCTTATTTTAGGAAATTCTAAATATTTGAGATAAGGTTTTCCTTGATGAAATAAAGAATATTATAACAACAATTAACATAGACTAGTTTGTATTCTTTTTTGTCATATACAAAATAAATAGCATGCACAGTAAATTAATGAAAATTTTTGTTTGCTTTTAGGCATCTTCAAAGAATGATATTTCCAAAGTTTGCAGAAAAGAATATGAGGTATGTGTCTTATTTTTAAAAATTGGGTAGACTATCCCAGTGTTCTCAGAACTGACAAAGATCACTTACATTTTTAAAAAATTAATTCATTTTTAAACAAATTGTGTTCTAACTTGCAGAAATTTTAGCCTTGATTAAAAACATCTTTTACTTTCTCTAAGGTGTTTTGACTTTGAGGGTTTGTTGAAATTAAGTATAAATTTTAAAGAAATGCTTTAAATCTCTCATTCACAGATTTCATCTATAATATTTTCATAACAAAGCCACTGGTTGTACTAAGATTCTGAAATCATTTTTCACAGATTCTGTACCCTCTTTTGCCCTTTCCCATCTGTGGACCCATCTTGGTGTCCATTTTTGTAAACTGCCTGTATCAAGAAGAAATGTAAACTAAGAAAATCAAACTGCTAATCTGAGCACTTCTCACTTCAACACCTGTATTTTGGAAATGTTACAGATCTGAAACCCTTGTCTCCCATCATGGGTTTCCAGCGTGGTGTTTCCTAATGGGCAAATGGTTGAGTGGGGCAGAGGAGGTAGTTTGCCTTGTGCAAATGTTCGAAACTCCTTTCGGTGTCCATTTTCTAAAGCCTCCCCATGAAGTGTGACACTTGTATTACTTTTCAGAGTGTAAGGTCATGTAATTAAGAGATTTAACTGCACGTCTCCTCCATCACATTACTGTCTAAACAATGAGTATCCTATTAACAATCTATGTATTTGGGAGAAACAGTAATTCCTGGCTGCTTCTATATTACAGTTCTGGTTGTTTTTTTTTTCTTCACAAGTTATAATTATGTCTCTTCATTAACATTTTTAGACTGCAGAGTCTTATTTATCCTTTGCCCCTTTGTTCTGTTAGCGAAGTTACATCAGGTCTCGGAAGACAAGCTTCCAAGTTAACTTCAGCTTCCCTCTGTTCTTGTTGCTATAAAGAAGTAAAGGGTCTCTTTAAATGTTTTTCTTACCTCTACCTTTGAAATGACCATTTTGGGTTTCCCTTGAACAAGTGGCTAACTTTGACAATTCCTTCTTTTCTCCACATGATGTCTGACACTGTCCATCTCCTGTAGCCTGTCCTCCATTACTTTAGTGTGCTTCCTTCTCTTGTTTGGATTTCTGCATTGCCCTAGGAAGTCTGCAGTGTGTGTTGATGAAGGACGAGACAGGAAAGGTAAGAGAGATAAACACTGTGCTACAGTAGAGATAAGAACAGATTGCTTCCCTGCCTGCCTGTCTTTATCTGGCCTAGAAGTAATTAAGCAACTGTTTTTCAAAAGACTATAGGATATGTCTGTTCCTTATGTTTGTATTACAAGCTCAAATTGTTCAACATAATTGAAAACTCAGTTTGATTTCTTACATATTATTTAGAAATAATGAGAGGCAATAGCACTTTAATTCAGGAAGCTGGTTCTGCATTACACACCCAAAGCAAATCACACCTGAAGTCTAGTCTAGAGATAGGACCATTTGTGAACTGCTCTAAGGTGAATTGGGTAAATTTGGTGTAATACAGTCTATTTTAGCATGCTGGTCTCTGTTAACATCAGATAAATTTTACACACTGGGCCTTTAATATCTTTTCCTTAGCCTTGGGTGGCCATAGGGTGAATCCCTACATGTTGTGGTTTCAGGTGCCACATTTACCCTGAAGGACAATCTTAGATGGCTTGAGTAGAGATTCAGAGAGTGGGCAATTACATTCAGAAGAGCTTGTTATCTTTATTGGAAAACGGTTCCTGGTTCCTTTAAGGGGATTTCCGAGGAAATTTACTTAAATGAATAACGTTTATAAATTACAGTGCCACTTAAGATTTTGTTTCATTCAAACCAGTTAAATGTGAAGCATTGCTACATCAGATTTTATAGTCTGGTTTCTAATAAACATCAGCAATATTAATGGAATTCTGCGAGGCAGTTTTATGAAACTAGAATAAGCACAGATTTCAAGTCAGACCTAAGTTAAAAACCTAGCTGAGGGAGCTGGAGAGATGCTCAGAGGTTAAGAGCACTGGCTGTTCTTCCAGAGGTCCTGGGTTCAATTCCTAGCAACTACATTATGGTACAAAACCATCTGTAATGAGATCTGATGCCCTCTTCTGATGCTGTCCATAGAGCACTCATATACATAAATAAATCTTTAAACAAACAAACAAACCCAAAAGTAAACAAACAAAACCCAAAAAAATTGAGCATGGTAGTGCACACCTTTAATCCCAGCACTCTGGAGGCAGAGACATGGATTCCTTCGAGTTTCAAACCGGCCAGAGATACATGGTGAGACCCTATCCCAAAACAAAACAAAATTTTAAACTGTTTATAGCTTAACTTCATTAATAAAGGACTGTATCTAATTAAGTCACATTAATTAAAATATATACTGGGGCTAGAGAGATGTCTCAGCAGTTTAGAGCACTTTTTGTTTTTTTCAGAGGATTTGGGTTCAATTCCCAGAACCCACAGGGTGGTTCATGGCCATACATAACTCTTCCCTGACACCCTCTTCTGGCATTCCCAGGCACAAGACATGCAGGTGGTGAACATACATATGTAAGCTTATACATATAAAATAAATAATAAGTAAACCTAAAACTATTATTTAAAATATATACTGCATGCATGAGGACTTAGGAAAACATAAGTAGAGCTAGTATTTTGGGAGTCCCAGAAAAAAATTTACAAAGCAGTGATAAATTGGTGTAGTTGGTTAATAAGACTATGGGCCAAAGGCATGTTAGAAAAAAAATGCATATGGTTCATACAAGGGGCAAAGAGGAGGACAGACATTGTCAATCTCACTGTATAGCTCTGGCTGACCTGGAATTTATTATGTGTGCCAGTCTGGCTTTAAACTCACAGAGATCCACCTGCCTCTATCTTCTGAGTGCTGAGATTAAAGGCATCTGCCATCACTACCTGTCCAGTCTTAAATAAAGAGGTATGTGTGGTGTGTGTGTGTGTGTGTGTGTGTGTGTGTGTGTGTGTGTGTTCCTATAATGTAAGGTAGTTTATTTCATTAGAGTGCTAAGTGGTAAAGAATTTTGTGAGTTAACTAAGTGCACACAGTACATAAACAAAAGTAACTCTGTATATTTGTAAGATGCTATTATATTCCATTGCCAAAGAGACAAATTAAGACTCTGTATACCTAAATAAAAAGCATCTAACTTTTAAAAGAATCAACACTTCAAAGAAGGGTGGAGGGGAGGAAGTCAGGGATTTAAATGAAGAATCATTAGCAGGGTTTGCCGATGGGTTGGATATAGAAGACCATTTTCAAGGGTGTGGAATCATTTAAGCCTAGTGTCCTGGAATACTTTTACTATTGTCCTGTGCTTGAAGGTACTATATAGGTCCTTATCTCCTGGCATTAGGACCTACTTATTATCTAGATCTGTGTTACAGGTTTAGAGAGTTTAAAATGCTGGGAAGAATCAGTGGAATGCACAAGCCAAAACTAAGTGGAGAGAAAGATCTAGAGAAACAAGGCACCGAGAAGGTATTAGTTTTGAGGATATTGACATTTGCTGAGTTGATTTTCATAGCTTTATCATCTCATGCACTTAGAAGTCAAAGAATATGTTTTGGTACCAATTGAAGATAGAAATCCCAAGTGAGGTCTCTTCCCTTTCTCACCAAAAAGAGGCTACACTTGCAATATGGGATGACATCTCCTCCTCTTGAGGAGGAATACATTGCTTCTCTCAAAGCTGTTTCTCTTGAAAACTGGTATTAATAACTTGAGTTTGAAGCCTAGCTCATATAAAGCCTCACTTAGAAAATCTCCAGCTGAGAAGGCATCAAAAATGACTATAAAATAGTAGTCATGTCTTAATGCCTAAGACAAGTAACACAGATCCTCTCTGCAGGAATGGGCTTTTATTCCAGAATTAAAACTCCCACAGATAAAGTTCTAAAGAAAATAAGCATCTCACAGTTTAAAAAAGAAAAATCACAAAACTCACAAGCAAACAAGGTCATCAGACAAGATCCAGCACAAGAGCCAGCAAGGACAACAGTGAATAGAATTAGACTTCAAGGCATTTCTTCTATAGAAATAATCACTGCAGACCATAAAAATATTTTATATGATTAAGAAACAGAATCGTAGCGAAGGAGTTGGTGGTGCATGCCTTTAATCCCAGCACTCGGGAGTTCAAGACCATCCTGGTCTACAGAACGAGTTCCAGGACAGGCTCCAAAGTGACAGAGAAACACTGTCTCAAAAACCAAAAGAGGGAAGGAGGGTGAAAGAAGGGGGGAGGGAGGGAGGGAAGGAAATAGAGAATCCTAAAAATACACAAAGCAAGTAGAGTTGAGAAAGAATTTACTAAAATTTTAACTGAAGAAATAAAAATATAATGGAAGCTGGGGTGGTGGTCCTCTTCTGTGACCCCAGTACTTCTGAGGTAGAGGAAGAAGTGTCATGAGTTCAAGGTCATACTCAGCTGGATAGTGAGTTTAAGCCATCCCAGGCTACAAGAGATCCTGTCCACATATTATAGACATACATCACTTTAAAAAAAAAAAAAACTTGAAATAAGAAGAGTTAAAAACAATCTTCTCTTTCAAAGATGACCAACAGCTGATTTCTCAGCAGCAACAAAAGAAGCCAGAAGACAATGTTTACATAGTTCTGAAAGAAAATAGCTATCAACCTAGAATTCTGTGTTCCAAAAAGATTTCATGAAAAAATGCAACATGATAGTTGGAGAGAAGCTAGTGGGATTGACTGAGTAGGGGGACAAGTAAGAACAAAATATAATGATACAGACACATGTATGTATTTGTATGTACCTGTCTCTGACTCTCTCTGTCTCTCTCTCTCTCTGTCTCTGTCTCTCTCTCTCTCTCTGTCTCTCTCTGTCTCTCTCTGTCTCTCTCTCTCTCTCTCTCTCTCTCTCTGTGTGTGTGTGTTTGTGTGTGTGTGTGTGTGTGTGTATGACACTGTCACAGTGACAACCTATTTGTATGCTAGCTAAAAAATGCAATGGGGT